GCTATATCTCCACTGCAAGTGGTCAGAATGGGTCAAACTAAATATTCAATTGCAGAGAAGACCCATGTACTCACCCTGTTAGAGAAAGGCATGTCTGTGATACGAGTAGCTGCAGACCTGAAGGTGACGAGAATGGCAATTTACAACCTCGAGAGAGCAGCTGCCGCACACCCACCTGCCACCGTACCACCCAGGAAGGTGGGCTCTGGGGCCCCCAAAAATACTTCTCTTCGCAATTACCTCTTCAGGATCTTGTGCGAAGAGAAGTCTTTCTGGGGGCCCCAGAGCCCCCCTTCCTGGGTGGTACAGTGCCAGGTGGGAGTGTGGCAACTGCTTTCTTGAGGCTGTAAATCGCCATCCTCGTCACCTTCAGGTCTGCGGCTATGCTTATCACAGACATGCCTTACTCTAATAGGGTGAGTGCATGGGGTCTTCTCTGCAATTGAATATTTAGTTTGACCCATTCTGACCACTTGCAGTGGAGATATAGCGTGGCAAAGTTCATGGTCGAGTGAAAAAAAGGGGCACTGAGGAACAACGTAGCAGGCCTCCTTCCTCACCGAGCTCTGGCAGAGCACTGAAGTGTGGCATGGTGGGGAACAATGGAGCAAGACGGGCTCCAGTACACAAGCTCTGCCCACATTTCCTATGGCGGACACACAAGTGTAATGCATGCACCACAATCACGTGTATAGGTTGTTTTTGCATTGAACATGCATAAATTTCTTTTGTATGCACTGTATTTACAAAGTAAGTCACATATAAGTAATCACAAAAGGCATTCGTCTGTGTACATGTATATGTGTAGTTAATGGTAATAAAGCATGTTGCTAAACACATATTAATGTCTATAAATTAGTGTAGCATTAATGCATTTTTACACTTCAGGATATTGATCCCAGTGAGATGATGCACCGTTGGCCACCTGTGAAACTGGCATCAGCTAAGATGCGTGGATTGAGGGACTTGCTTCTTGCTGATAAACTCAATTCACAGGCAATTTCACTACAGTTAACAGCACAGTCACAGGTCAGTATAAATTTAGTGTTTTTTTTTTTTTTTTTTTTTTTCCAACAAGTCGGCTGTCTCCCACCGAGGCAGGGTGACCCAAAAAAGAAAGAAAATCCCCAAAAAGAAAATACTTTCATCATCATTCAACACTTTCACCACACACATTATCACTGTTTTTGCAGAGGTGCTCAGAATACAACAGTTTAGAAGCATATACGTATAAAGATACACAACATATCCCTCCAAACTGCCAATATCCCAAACCCCTCCTTTAAAGTGCAGGCATTGTACTTCCCATTTCCAGGACTCAAGTCCGACTATATGAAAATAACCAGTTTCCCTGAATCCCTTCACTAAATATTACCCTGCTCACACTCCAACAGATCGTCAGGTCCCAAGTATCATTCGTCTCCATTCACTCCTATCTAACACGCTCACGCACGCTTGCTGGAAGTCCAAGCCCCTCGCCCACAGAACCTCCTTTACCCCCTCTCTCCAACCCTTTCGAGGACGACCCCTACCCCTCCTTCCTTCCCCTATAGATTTATATGCTTTCCATGTCATTCTACTTTGATCCATTCTCTCTAAATGACCAAACCACCTCAACAACCCCTCTTCTGCCCTCTGACTAATGCTTTTATTAACTCTGCACCTTCTCCTAATTTCCACACTCCGAATTTTCTGCATAATATTTACACCACACATTGCCCTTAGACAGGACATCTCCACTGCCTCCAACCATCTCCTCGCTGCTGCATTTACCACCCAAGTTTCACATCCATATAAGAGTGTTGGTACCACTGTACTTTCATACATTCCCTTCTTTGCCTCCATAGATAGCATTTTTTGACTCCACATATACCTCAACGCACCACTCACCTTTTTTCCCTCATCAATTCTATGATTAACCTCATCCTTCATAAATCCATCCGCCGAAACGTCAACTCCCAAGTATCTGAAAACATTCACTTCTTCCATACTCCTCCTCCCCAATTTGATATTTAGTGTTAACTCTTATTTTAAGGTTAACTGGTAAACCATTAATGTGTGAGTAGTAGCAACTCCAACTTGCAACCAAAGGACCTAGGCTCAATATCAGGCATGAAAAAGAACTTTGTGTACTAGGCAAAAGGGAATGTATCGTAGTAGCTTTTGCTAGCAATTGCACTAGCTCATTGTGAGATTGATAATGCGGAATAAGTCATAGACATGATGGTAAGCCTTATTATTATTGAAGGAATGGGTACATGGTGAATGTTTGGTGTTAGCCTGCACCAGGCTGTAGACTGGTGAGAGAGTGAAGGAATGTAACCTCTGGTCTGATCTGCATCTATCCAGTGAGTACAGACCTAAACAGCATGCAAAAAGTTCACTAGATAACAGCACAGGTACAGTGGTGTAAAGAGTGCAAAATGTGAAGGCCTGACTAGATTTACATTGCATCTGAGTGTAGTTCTGATATTTAAATAAGGGGGGACAGATAGGTAGTGTTAAACTACAAGCCATTGTTACTGATATGTTTATTACAGAAGTTTATGGAGAGGATTATCAGAAGTGTAGTGCAGTACCGGAAAAGGAGCGGGTTTATAGATAAGAGCCAGCATGATTTTAGAGATGATAAATACTGCCTCACAAATCTGCTTGAGATCTGTGAGAAGGTAATGAAAGTAGAGAGAGAGTGAGTGTGTGTGTGAGAGAGTGAGCGAGTTTGTGTGAAAGAGAGAGAGGGAGAGTGTGTGAAAGAGAGAGAGAGAGAGTGAGTGAGTGAGTATACAGTGGACCCCCGGTATTCGATATTAATCCGTTCCTGAGAGCTCATCGAATACCGATAATATCGAAAACCGAATCAATTTTCCTCATAAGAAATAATGGAAATCAAATTAATCTGTGCAAGACAGCCAAAAGTATGAAAAAAAAAATTTTTACTACATGAAATATTAAGTTTAATGCAATAGAATAATTACAATAACAATAAAATAATTGACACTTACCTTTAACCCTTTGACTGTTTTCGATGTATAAATACGTCTTACGAGCCAATGTTTCTGACGTATATATACTCAATAATTCTAGCGGCTTCAAATCAAGTGGGAGAAAGCTGGTAGGTCCACATGTGAGAGAATGGGTCTGTGTGGTCAGTGTGCACCACATAAAAAAAATCCTGCAGCACACATTGCATAATGAGAAAAAAAAACTGATTGGTTTTTTGGAATAAAACGCCGACTTTGAGGTGTATTTTCGTATAGTATTTATCGTTGTATTCGCGTTTTCATGGTCTTAGGTGATAAAATGGAAAACATATTACAGAAATAGAGATGATTTTCATTACTTTGACGATGAAAACTACCTCGAAACTGAGCTCAAAGTAGCGGAAATGTTCGATTTTTACCAATGTTCAGGAGTAAATAAATCACACCACATGTCCAATACACGTCAACTGGGGAGTCTAATATTCTTTCACTAGTGCACTGATATTATTTATACCATTTTTACAATAATGCAGTAGTCTGCATAACAGTAAATTTTGTATTTTTTTGTATGAATAAAAAATCAAAATAGAAAGCAATAATAATATAAGAGGGGCCTAGAGATGTGACTAATGAACAGAGCATATGTTATTTTAGTGCCACGAATGTCTACCTTGTTTATTCTGGACCCTATTTTGAAATTGGCATCTTTTTTAGTTTGTGTGAAATTGGCCAAATTGCCAATTTCTGACCACCATATTGGGTAGTCCAAATTAGTAAATGGGAGGTTTCTTGTACTCAGCTGATAGATAAAATGGAGTTCTAAAGAAATAGCTATGAGTCTGGTCAACTGGAACAATGGAATTGGCTGAAAATAGGGCCCAAAGTCGGCGAAATCGCCGATACACATATGTCGCCAAGACCGCTAACTTCGCGAGAGCATAATTCCACGAGTTTTCGACCAAATTTCGAACTTTTGGTGTCATTACCATCGGGAAAAGATTCTCTATCATTTCATAAGAATATTTTTTTTTTTTTTTTTTTTTTTTTTTTTAAATTGAGCAACATAGAATGACAGTTTCAGAGAGGGGCCTGAAACAGTCAAAGGGTTAATGAAGATCTGGTGATGATTGATGAGATGGGAGGAGGGGAGAGGTGTTAGTGTTTAGAAGGGGAATCCCCTTCCATTAGGACTTGAGGTAGCAAGTCCTTTTCTGGGGTTACTTCCCTTCTTCTTTTAATGCCACTAGGACCAGCTTGAGAGTCACTGGACTTCTGTCGCACAACATAACTGGCAGCCTCACTATGCCTAATCACACTATGTATGCCACTACGATTCTTAAATCTTTCTAACCAACCTTTGCTGGCCTTAATTCACTCACATCACCACTAGTTGCAGGCAATTTCTTTACCAAATCGTCATGCAACTGCCTAGCCTTTTCACAAATGATTGCTTGAGAGATGCTATCTCCTGCTATCTGTTTTTCATTTATCCACACCAATAACAATCTCTCAACATTTTCTAACACTTGCGGTCGCTGTTTCATAATCACAGTTGCACCTTTTGCAAGAACAGCTCCCTTGATTGCCGTTTTCCTGGTCACTATAGTAGAGATGATTGATTGGGGTTTATTATACAACCTGACCAGCTCCGACACACGCACTCCACTTTCGTACTTTGCAATTATCTCTTTCTTCATTTCATAAGTCATTAGCGACTTTTTTCTCGAAGGGTTGGCACTAGAAGCTTTCTTGGGGCCCATGGTGACTTATTTTGCAGAAACAAGCACCAAACATAGTGATAATGTGGATAATATGGAATGTACCGAATGTATCCTTAGATGCGCACACACTGGCTGGCTTGTAAACACTAGCACACACAGGGCAGTTCAGGCTACACGTGGACAGGTCTCGTACGAATCGTATCGAATACCGGGTTTTCAATCGAATACCGAGAAAATTTTTTTGCGTTAAAATGCATCGAAAACCGGATTTATCGAATACCAATGATATCGAATACTGGGGGTCCACTGTAATAACAGAAGCATAACTGGAAAGGTTACAAAACAGTCTTGGCAAACTACAGGATTGGTCTGACAAGTATTTACTAGACTTTAGCCCTAGTTATTTCAAATATATGAAAATTGGGGAAGGGCAAAGATGACCAGAAACAAAGTACAGGCTCAGGGAACAAATGCTGTAAACCTCCATGAAAGAGAAGGCCCTTGGGGTGAGCATACTGTAGTTCAAGCATATAACCTGAGTTGCACATCAACTGAATAGCAACTGCAGCAAATGTAAATCTGGCAAATTTATGGATGACAGTAAAAAAAATAGAAAAAACTGATCTTTCTTCTTTCAACAAACTGGCTGCATCCCACTGAGGCAGGGTGGCCCAAAAAGGAAAAATGAAAATTTCTCTTTTTAACTTTAGTAATGTATACAGGAGAAAGGGTTACTAGCCCCTTGCTCCTGGCATTTTAGTCGCCTCTTATGACACTTACATTTGTAGAATAGTTATCTACACTAGAAATATTTCGTGTCTTAATGCATGTAAGAAAATCCATGGGTTTTGGGTGTATAAATGAACATATTTTAATTTTTTTCACTGCACTTACCTATAATAAACACCATCCCACAGGTGACGATGACGAAAAAGAGAGGTGTAGGCGAGGTGGAGACTCCACATGCTGGCCGATCCAAAAGAGCGCGAAGAGAATAAACTTTTACAGGTTTATTGTACATTGTACAATAATATTGTACAATGCATTGGTAAGGTTGAAGAACAAAGTCTACAAAGGTGACTTGGCCATACTGTGAAATTTTGGTGTACTGTACAGGGATAAAATGATGCTATACCATACAATGGTATATTTTTTAGTACACCAAAGAAAGAGGTATACAGTGAGATACATGGGATTAAACCTTCCTCGTCCTAGTGGTTTTGTGTTACCATGTGTGAAAATTTATGGAGTTTAAATTTCAGGGTGATGTTACACTTTCAAGTCAGCAATTTGGTTAATTTAAAATCTATGAGGCTGCCCTGCTTGAAGAACCAAGAGGGATGCTGATATTTGTGGAAATAATAATGTAGATGACTTGGAGACAAAGGGAGTAATGTTTGTGTTCCATGTATTTCTTGCTTTGCATTTCCTGGGTACAAACATACTAGCAAGTTTTGTGGAAAATTATTTATAAAAGTGGCTGCTTTCTAAAGGTCATTCATCAGTTCTGTCATTGAGTGCAATTGATACAATTTTTCTTTGATTTAAGAAACATTATTTTATTTTCCTAAGAAATTAATCATAGCTAGTATAGTATATGCTTAATATTTTGTCAGTATCAAGCAATGATTGTGACTTGGTCACTTTTAGAAGACAGCCTGTGAGTGGCTTAAAGTAGATTTCTAGGTGATTTTTAAAAGTGATCAGTGTGTTGCTTTGAACACACGCATCACGTGTTGGGTAGAGTATCCACGGTGATAGTCAAAATTAGATTTTATTTTTAATGTCTTTACCAAAGTCTTAAATTTCCTTTTTATTTGGAAAATAATGATTTTATACAAATTTTATGTAGAGATTTAGATGGCATTTCCTATATGAGAAATGTGCCCCAGTTGGTTAAGGATAGTGATACGTATTTATTTTAAGAACCTGAAAAGATGAATGTCGAGTAGTTTTTCCAGAATCCAAAGGAATGGCTATTGAGCAATTTTTTGTTTGTTGTTCCAATAGGAATCAAAGATTATTTTTTAAATGATGTTTATGAATATGATGATTGTTAACTACATGTAATTGTAGTATCTTTTTTTTATCATAGGTACCAGACCATACAACTCTTGCTTGGAAGAAATGTTGCTCTACATTAATCAATATTTCTGTAAAGCACAAACAATTTATTAATGACATGGGTGTTCCTTTACTGTATAATTCTCTTAGGAACTTTTGAAACCTACCATGTAATAAGCAACCACATCGTTGGGAATGATGACAACGCTTCTGGTTGCAGTGATGATTGGTTCCCTTTTGCGCACCACATGTAGCGCTATGGGTGGAGGCTAGTAATGGGAGGCAAGTTTTAATACCTCTTCCTATTTGTGTCCAGTCTTAGTAGCCTGTGATGATTTACACGCAAAAGTTTGTGTATGTCAAGTTTCAGGGGAATTTTATTGATTTAAGGTGCTGGTATAAGTACAATTGTCTTTGCAAAAAAAAAGTGGTATTGATAAAACTATGTGGATTCCTACACGTTGCTTGCTAGATATTATACGTTAGAGATTTAAGCGTGTGTATGTAAGAGTACACATTGTTATGTTTGATTCTAGGATATTCTATTGATCCTATATTACATGATGCGTTCACTTTGCATTGGCATGTAGATTAATTTATTTGTAAATACAGTAACTTTTTTTCCCTGTTCATTACTGGCAATAATCATATCATATTTTGTTGATAACTTTTGCAAAGTTGATTTGGCTTTCCCTGTTCGGATATTTTGACAAAAATTTATATGTATATATATAATATATATATATATATATTATATAGTATATATATATATATATATATATATATATATATATATATATAATATATATATATATATATATATATATATATATATATATATATATATATATATATATATATATATATATATATCTATCTATATATATATATTATATAGATCTTGAAGGGAAAGAAGCCCCCAAGCCCCCTCCTGGTGGATTATCTTTGATGTGCCAGCAACACAGCGGCAACACCCATAGTATGTAACTGTGAAATACAGTTAGCCTATGTGGTCTGCTTACTGGGTTTGACCACCAAACAAGTACCTGATAAGGCTTAAGTAAAGTAAGGAAAAGTGGTTGTGCACCTACTTATAAAGCTGACACATGGGCACCTGAAGGCTGATAAGTATGACCACTCATAGCTGTGGACATTGTAAACAGGACATTGTCTTTTGTAGGCCACTAGTAATTGGTCTTGTTATAGGCCATGTATGTTACTGATTGTCATTTGTCTGTAAGCTGTCAGTGATGCTTGCAATATGACCCCCATTAGAGATTTCTCTTCTAGCTTGCAGAAAGATCATCTGCCAACTAGGAAAACTGTTTCCAATATCACTTCAAAAAGTGATTGGTGGTGACAGGACTTGCCAGTATTGCTAGCAAGAGATTCTTGACAACATTGTTACCAGTGTCACTTCATGATGTGATGGTGGTGACAAAGTTGTTGCCAATATCACATGATAATGTGATGGTGGTGACAAAATTATTGCCAGTGTTGCTTCATGTTGGGGGGTGACAGACGGTTAGCAGTTTCACTTGATGATGGTGGTGACAAAATCTGACTTCATTTTTCTTATTTGGCAGATTTTTGCTGTAAGAAACAGCTGTATGTGGCAGTTTATGGCCTGAAGGTCAGAATTGTTTGTGGTAGTTTTGGGCTCTAGATCACATTTGTTAGTCACAGTTTGTGACCTTCAGCTCACACCTGATGGTGACAGTTTGTGACCTTCAGCTCACACCTGATGGTGACAGTTTGTGACCTGTATTCACCTGTTGGTGTGAGTATCTGGTCACAGTTGGTTGTCTGCAGGTTACACTTGTTATTAACATTAATTTCCTGTAGGTTGAATCCCTGTGTTGACAGTTTGTCTCTAGGTCACATTGAATGCCTTTGGCTCCATCTGTTGAATTAATGGATCATGTAGGTTGTGGATGTTTGTGACAGTACAATCGTGTAGGTGATGAGAAATAGCGTCGGTCTGGTGTGGGGGCCACTGTTGTAGCAAGCAGTACAACCTTCTTAGGCCATGGATGTTATGTGTGGTAGGTGTTGCTATCACCAGCTATATTTTACAGCCATTTCTAGGAAGCGCTTTGTAGAAACTAAGCATCCAGATGTGACATTTGAGGAATCTCTTGATATTTTGATGACAGTGTTTATAAAAGAAGTAGAATATGTACACCCACAGCTGTGTATTTCTTCTGCATTGACTTTACAAACCTAGAATAACATGCATGATATGTTAGCATGAGGGTCATATAAATGCATTGTACCTTTATATGATATTGCCTTTTTTCTATAATTTTAGCCCATTTGCACAAAAGAATCACTGGGCAGGCCTTTCCAGTTGAAAGATCTTATGTACTTAGACCTCATATTAGTCTCAGAAATCACTCCACATCACTTACATCCCTGTTAGTTGTGTCTCCTTACAGAACCTAAACCTCAGAATGGCATAGCAGCTTTCAGCTAGCACATAACCATAATTTTCTAAGATGCAATTAGCCAGTCTATAATTAAGGATAATGAGGTTTTGATATTTTTGCATATTTGTTGTAATTTGCAATTTTGTCAAAAGTCTTGTGCCCATGATTAATCAGAATACTGGTTAAATTTTTTTTATGAAATATTAATAGAATGAAACAGGTATCTGGATAGGCCAGATGTTAGTTGGCTCTCAACACTGTAAAGGTGAATGTAAAGCCTACATTTTTTGGCTATCCTTACTCTGTCAGACCTCACACTTATATCTCTATTGACCTACAGTATATGATGTTTTAACATGTCTCAGCAGTGGCTGCATGCACTCTTAGAATACATCTTTCCTTGAATGCTGTTTATTATTGAATGTAGTTGAAATTTTTCTTAACAATGTTGTTTCTGTTCTTATTTTCATAAGGGAGACTTCTTTGGAATGAATATGATTTTCCAAAATGGCAAATATTCAAAGCAAGTAAAATATATTTAAATCATTAATACCACTAGAGGTTGTGTGATATGTACATGGCTTGTAATGGTGTTTATTTAGCCTATAAAGATAAATTTATGTTTGTGGGCTAAATACTTACAAAGTGGGATTGACATCATAATGGAGGATATTTATATAAGGCGAGCTATGCTATATCAGAACATTTTAATTGTAAACTTTAATGTATATTGTGCCAAGCATTGACATCATTAGCTTAGTTATATGCTGAAATTTGCATGAAAAATTCATCCAGTTTTAACAATAAGCATCATAACCTTAGGCCATTTGCTGAGACTTGCATGTGCATCATAAGCTTAGGTCACATTCTTAGCAAATCCCCAAAGCCATTAGTGCATAATAGGAGGTGTACAGTGTCTTCACCCTCCCTCACACAAACATGTGTCAAGGCTGTCTTCTATACTGTGTTGGAAATAGTCATTATCATTATTTTTCCTCGAACTAGAATGTAAGAACTTGAGTTTTTATATCCATATATTGTGCTCCAAGTGTATTGTTGTATGTTTGACAAGTAGAGATATTTAATTATAATGAGGATTTTATAATTTTTCGTGTGGAATTTAATTTTTGCCCGAATAATTCATGTACCTCTGTAAAACAAACATTCCTATATGAGTAGTTTAGTGAAGTGAGCTGGCCTAGATCTCTGGAGCACTGGTCTATTTGCTGTGTCCATCACCAGGACCACAGATTTCCCTGTTCTCCGTGTTAGTTCACCAGGACCAGGCTCGCTACTTCGGTTATGTCAGTTCACTTGAACCAGGCTATTTTTGTTTTTGTTTTTTTCTGTTCTTGAAAATGAGGCTCCTCTTCTTATGCCTGTACACTAGAGCCGAACTTTCCTTTCCTTATGCCAAGTCTGTTCAGTCAGGTCATGCTACCCTCATTCCCAGCTGTAACAGACATGGTTGTTAAGCTGTGTAGTGATATTCACCCCATGATATTTTAGTTTCTTTAGATCTTATCATTGTACACATGCAGGTATGCTCATCTTAGCAGTGTTGCCATATGTTATTGAATATAAGCCATGCATCAAGTTATAACTTTCCGGCAGACCGAAACGTTGCTCAGTGATGGACAGTGTTGATGTAGGTTAGGGGTCACACATGGTAGTTTCTGTATTCTCCAGTCATTGCAGGAAGCAGTATCTTATTAATTCATTGTATCCTTTGGCTAACTAAGGTAGTGTATGAACATTTGTAGGTGTATGATCTTGTAGTTTGTGGTGAGATGCAATGTTACTGATAGTGTTTTACTCAATTAAGAAACTCTTTAGCTCATGTGAAATATTACAAATAATTTTCACAGTTATTTTTTCTTACTGAAATATATTTAGATTTGTAATGTTTGAGAAATAACTTTTCAGTATTTTTGAAAAAAAAAAAAAAAGTAATATTTAAGATAATGGGTGTAGACCAGCATGAGTGGCATGACACTCTCCAAACATTGCTTTTTTTTTCCACAACCATGACCTTCCTAATAAAACATTGCTTAGTATGGTATGTTTTGTTATGAAGGAAGATAAAATAGTCCTGCAGATTACTTCACCAGTCAAGCAAAATATTTTTCATAGATAAGACTTTTTGTTTTTTATCACTGATTTCACCTGCTCAGTGCGTGAGCAAAAGATATTAATTTCTACCACTTGAAAGAGAAGGGATTAAGGTGAGCACTTAACATTAGTATCAAACCTTCAGATTAACGATAATAAAATCCTTTAGAGAAAGTTATGTTACTTTGGTTTGACATTCCAAAAGTGAAAAGCTCCTGTAATATTTTTTTATTGAGATTGTATATTTTTTTATGTCAAAGTATATGGGAGACCTGCATTTCAGATATGGAGATTATTGTAGGTATTATTAAGTTTAAAGATATCAAATTCTTTAATTTGCTTAGAATTCTATATGTGAAGTAATAGTTATGGTGAACAGTGTGGGTGATGGGAGTTTCTTGCTTAATATAGAGTCTTATAAATAGGGTCTTATAGCATATACAAATCATTGACATATTGTATATCTACATAAGTAGTTTGGAAGTGATATTTTTAAGACATCAGATTTTTAATGGCACGTTGAATCTTTTTTGTTCATCTGTATTATGTACCATTGGCCGTGTTATGTTAGAGCAGACTGGTATATTTAGACTATTCTCATCTCAGTTATGTTGTAGCTGGTTTAAAGCTTCATTATTTTGAATATCAAGTATCATCGTTCACAACATTAACCTTAGATATATCTGAATTTCTGGTTTTCATTGAAGAATTTATAACCACATACAAAGGTATTAACAACACAAGTAGATAAAAACGGTAAGAAGATGGTAGTAAACAATTAAGAAAAGAAGAGAGAGGCAAGTTCAGTATACAGTGCTGTAAAATATGTCATTAGGTGAGTGCAGTACAGTACCTTGATCCTTTTACAAATATTTTAACTAGAAGTTCTGCACAATCTAGGTACTGTATATATAATATTATAGTTGTTAATATGAATTGGTTGCTATTACTAATTGATATACAATATTTATTTTTTATAGTAGTAGGTCATGGTACAGTAATTTTTACATTGCATAGTCAAGTATGACTTGGATTAAGGTATTCCAATTGAGTTTCTTTAAAATGTAGAGTGAAGACAACCACAGGAGACTCAGAAATCTATACCTCTCGCTAATGCCACTGAGTACTCCCTGGTCCATCCATTATCTTCGTCATTGTATATTGTAACCACACATTGTCATCAACATGCATTT